GACCCCGCGCAGGTTGGGAAGGGAGAAGGGACTGAATCCAGAATGGCTGGGAGAGGTAAAGATGGCATGAGACCTGGCAGCAAAGACTGGGAATGCCTACCACACACGGGGATGCATCTTCTCATCCAGCCCTGTTTGAGTGCATGTTCTTCTGTACCATCCCTGTGATCGGTTTTACTTGTAGCTTTCAGACTTGGGGGGGAGGGAGGGAGGGGGGGACAAAACATGCTTTCCTTCCATGAAGTGGTCCAGATTTCCCTGTGATTCATCCAACTGAACACATCACTCTGAAGCCATATTGCAGCCCCAAACGTGGGGGCCCTGGAGGAAGAGCTCCATGCTTCCACTGCACTGGGAGCCCACTCCCACCGCAGAAGCAATGGGGCAAATCAACACCCCCAAATGACATGTGGAACAGGAGGGTCTGGAGACAAACCCCTGATTCACTCTGTGAGGGGAAGAAGGGATGAAAGCAGGATGTCACCTGTGGCAGCACCCTGAGGATCAAGTGATGGGCACAGAGGAGCTGGTCTCGGATGGCTGCATGCCCCAGGCTAGGGCTAGCTTCATGCTCTCTGCTGTGTTGTTGGCCTTCCTACATATGTAAAAGGGAACTTCAGCATGTGGGTTTCAGAATAGCAATGGTGTAGTCACCAAATAGCTCCTCAGCACTTCAGACTGCACTTATTTTAATGCAAAGGGGTCTCCCCGAAGACACATCTTCCATTGACTAAACAAGATTCCTTGCAAACTACAGAAGAGGCTGCATTCATGTGAATGTGATCTTGAACATATTAATTTGGGTGGAAATAATCACTGGTCCTGACAGGAGGCAGGTTTAGTTACCTTGAACATATGTGATCATTGGCCAAGGATGAGAGCTGGGGTGTGGAATTTTTGTACATTCTGGGATACCATTTTCCCTGGTTTTAGACAAATTCCTACTGGCAGAGTGACCAAATATCTTTCCTCAGAGAATGGTGACTATCAGCAGGGCTTAGGAAACTTCCCATCACTCAGAAATGATGTGATTGTTTAGAAGAGGTGAAATACAGGATAAGCATTAATACCCAGAAATTTCCAGGTTTAAAGGGAGGGAACACTGGAGTCTGTTTCCTTTTCCCACTTATCTAATCTAAGATCCCTGGATATTGAGAACAGATTCAGTAGGAACTTCAAGGAGAATGTCATTACTCATGGTCTTCCCTGCTTCCCTTCAGTAGTGTCATTGAAGTGATACAAAAGCTTATGCTTGAAGTTAAAGCAGATCAAACCACATGCTTCAAGAGGAAACGATGCTAGCCTTACCACTGCCCGTATTTTAATTTCTCAGCTTTCTCCAGGTCACAGCAGATAATTGCTGTAACAGTACACAGATGTGATAATATATATTCCTTTCATGCATTTCATCATGCCTTGTAAGCTGCATGCTGTTACAAGTGTTAAAAAGGCAGAGCCTGGGCATTTATTCTGTCAGAGGGGACATATAATTAATTAGTAATGTCCCAGCTGGAATATTTTTGTCGTCCAGCAAACTACAATAAAGCAAGAGGAGATCTTGCTGGGTGGGATGAATTTGGTCTCCCACTCACCACCTACTCCCTTGATAATCAATAAATGCCCTACACGTGAAAAGTGCTGGGTATTTTCACACCTGGAGTTTCCTTTAATTATCAAGACAGGCATTTAAACTGCAGGGAGGAAATTGTGCAGCACACTAACCTGAAAGTAAAATGAAGTCTCAAGAAGTCGGGCTGAAATCTTGGAGTGGCAGGGAAGGACCCAGCCCAGCAAAACAAGTTGTTTCCTCTGTATCATGAGGAAGGGCAACAGAAGAGCATCTGAGACTCAAGGACACTGCAGGGCTCTTGCTTTCTATTTACTCTTCTGCTAAGGATGTCAGTTCTGGTTTTCCATCATGTTCCAACACTTCTACACTACTGGAGTGAGGGCATCTACAGATATATATTTTTAAAAGGAAGAGGAGAATCAAGCACTTTATTTTTTGTGGAAAACAAGATATGAGGAAGATGGATTCAACCCAGATTCTATTTTTCCTGACCTAAATAGCAAGTGCTTGTTATTTTGGTATGAAAGTGTTGCTGAAAAGGTTGCACAAATCCCTGTCTGGCTCTCAGAGCCAACCCTGGGCACAGCACAAATAAAATGTCCTACTGCATCTGACATGTTATGGGATGTTGGAGTCTTTTCAGAAGCCACCATGAACAAGAAGTTTCTACAAAAGTATGAACTGTACCACACGGCCCAGACTCAGCTACTTAGACAAAGTAGGATATAGTAAGGTGCATTTAAACACCTGTTTTCATCTGTTTAGGTCTGGAGTGAGTCATGAGATATTTTACCTAAACATGAATATCACTTTGCACTCTTTTGCAGTAGTTTTGCCGTAAGAGTTCTCTGAAACCCTGCAAAACACAGTAGCATGTACCAAGAACAGGTAGATGAAATCTATTCGTTGCCCTCAGATTTGCTGGCAAAAATGTAAAATCCCATCAGATCCCAAGGGATTAAATGTTTTGAGCAAAATGTCCAAAGTGCATGAACAAAATGTAAAGTGGTTTTGACTGTAGAGTGTATGCAGATGTTTTGCCTTGTTGCTCAAGTAGAATGAAATATCAGCTAGGAAAAATCTTACTGTCTTCATTTCTGAGATTTGATGTTACTGTCCATTTATCATCTAAAGGATGCAAATAGTCTGTATCTTGAGTTCTCTAACCCTCCTTGACTGTGTATGAGAAAGAGGTCCAGGCTTAGGTCTTCAAAGAACTCCATGAAAATGGACATTTTTTCCTACTGTCCTTTTTTAATGTCATAACTTAATGGAAATAGGGAGCAAATCTGTAACAATAGGGCTAAATAGTAACAGACTGCTATGGAGTTGGGCATACTCTCCACACTTGCAGACTTCCTGCCAAGTCTGGATGTCTTCCTTGCAGATATGCCCTAATCCTATAGTTTTCATCCTTTTCCAATCTGCGGACACCTAACTTACTTTTCCCAGGGAAATGTGGACCCCTGTCTGGGTACTTTAAGTCCATGGACTGTGGGCTTGCCTTTTCACCTGTTTTTTCATCCCCTCTTACTCTGAAGTAGTCTGAAAACTCCCCAGGATTTACCAGCTACCACCTAAAAAGCCTATTTCAAAGACAAGTTGTTGGCTCAGTACAGGAATTACAGCAGGAAGAAGGGGTGGCCTGTGTCATGAATGAAGTAAGACTAGGTTATTTTAATGTTCCCTCCAGCTTTGACATTATAAAATGTGACTATTGGCAGTGCACATGCCTTTCTTGGATGATGCTGCACTTGACTTTCAATGATACAATAGAAAGGGGAAGCAAACTAGTTCAAGCTCAGCACTTCAGTGGTTTTCCTTTTAGTCTCTGACAGCACTTATTAGCATTGAACAACATGTTAGTCCTAATTCTCTTGCATTACTCCAGTCCAGTAGGTTTATGTGTGTTTGAGAACAAAAGAAAAAAGAATCAAAGGTGTAAAAATAAAACCCAAGAAAATATTCTCAAAACCTGTTGTCAAATGTACCAATATTTGTATGAAAAGCTGCTTGAGTTATTTTGTACAATGAATTTTATTTATGGTGAGGTATATTTACGCTCGTGAGCTGATAAGGTGTTAAATTTCTGATCCATATTTGCTATGCAGCTGAAGATGATATTTTGGTTTTGTATTACTTTTTGCTGTTGTTCTAAAAATTCAGCTAACAGAAGCTTCCATCTCCATTAGAAATGCTTCTGCAAGAGTAAAGCATCTGGTACATGGTGATATGTCCCGTAACACAGCAACCAACAGTGTGTACAACAAATGTGGGATGACTTTTGTGATGAAGAGAAATAAAAATTGGGCTCATTTGTGAAATGGGCAGACTTTATCCTGTGGTGTCATCATTGTTGTGATAATTGTTATTTGGGGAGAGCCTCCAATTGCAGCTGGCATGGAAAAAAGACAAGAGGAATGATGGCAGCACTTTGTTGGTAAAAAGGTTGAGCTTTTTCCAAAGGGAAAATATATATATACACATATACATATACATATATATATATATATAGGTTTGTGGCCAACACCGAAGTAAGTAAGTTTTCCTGTCCCAAACCTAGTGATTTTTGATAAAAACATCCTTCCACAACAAGTTTTCATTTGAAAATTTTAGTATAAGAGGTCTGGGGGAGGGAAAAGTACATAATTATAAATAATAGAATTTGACAGGCCCTATTCAAAACAAAGCTAAACTGGGGAGCTAATTTCCCCTCATTACCACAGGCTTGTCAGCTCAAAAAAGGGACTTTTTATTCCAGGGGACTCTCCTTGCTATTTTTTTTTTCTCCAAATTTCCATTTGAAATCATTCTTAGGTTTGTGCTAAAAGCATCTGATGAGCAGCCATGGTTGTTGACTGGAGGAGGAGCACTGGGAATTGAGGGGAAAAGACACCCTGGAAACTGAGGAATTGGGGTGAAACAACTGGATTTATGGGAGCGTGAGCACCTATGCTTCATCAGCTTTAGGCAAAATAGTGTAATTGATGTTCCCTTTCATAGCTTCTTCCCAAGGTTTCCCTGTAGGAACACTTCCTAGCTTAAGAGGAATAAAAATGCAATGACTCTTCACATAGAATGGGAAGTGAACTTTACACCATGACCACGCAGCTCTGTTGATCTTTCTGGTGTGCTTTAAGTCATGGAACACCTGATGTACCTGCAGCTTTGTGTGAACATGCTGCTGTGGAGGACTATTTGCCCAAGGGTTGAGAGTTGCCCAATGTTTACTGATTTCAAAATGGTTCTGCAATAGGGAATGGGAGAGAGGAGAGTGGGAATTTCTTCCTCATTCAGCAATGATGGTAGGAAGGTTGTTGCGTTTTCTTCCTTTCCTCCATCAGGATTTCTTTTTTTCCTTCCTCTCTAACTGATGTTAGCTGCTGCCTCATGGACACC